CTGGCAGCAGCTGGTGAGGCGGGGTTTTTTGTTGGGTTTTCTTTAAGTGCTGGGAGCTGGGGTGGGAGGACGGCCATGGTGGGGCTGGGAGAGCAGGCGGAGGTTGGAGGGGGCCCATGGCAGAGCTCCCCATGTGGCATGAGGCAGTGGGGGGGCAGCAGGGATTGCCCTTTGCCTGGCAGCAGCCAGTGAGTTGGGACTTTTTTTTTTTCTAAGAGCCAGGAGCTGGGGCTGGGCAGGGCAGCCATTGCCAGGGTTGGGAGAGTGGGTAGGGGATAGGGCCTGTCTTATTTAGCTGATTCGGCAGCAGCCAAATCTCCAAATCAGATTCGGGCAAATCAGTTCGGGACAGTGATTCGAATCACCAAATTGAATCACTGTCCCCTGAATCCAAAGTGAACACTAGCTGCTTCACACAGGCCTATTACCTACCCTGATTCTTTTGATACTCATTTAAATGAGTTCAGTACAATGATTACTAGGCTATCACTATATAACTCATAACTTGTGGTGAACTTTCTTCAGCCCATCCTTATGATTCAGCTCACTATTCTGGATCAAACCCCACTATGAGGGGGATGGAGGGTACTGAAGGGGGACCTCTGTCTGTGAAGATTTCAGGACCTTCACTTTCTTGTAGTGATTTCTTTTGGCATGTGAAGCAAGGATGTCAATAGCAGCTCGCAGTGGGGGAAATAGGTATTATTTGGCAGTGGCTGAATCACAAATTACACCAACAGTAACTTTGGCAGCAGAGGGAAGTGGCAGCAATGGGAAGCAGCAATGGTGGCTAGATCACAAGCAGTGACCTGCTTTTGGATCTAACCACTACACTTTGAAGGTTGCCAACCTCTGTCCTAGATCCCATACCTACAGTTTTCCTGTGGCTCCAAAACACTTGATAAACTGAAGATACCCAGCTCCCCCTCTAATATTAGGATTACCTTAAGGGCCTAAGAAGAAAATAAGTTATCTTCAGTGCAAGTGGTATGGCTACTTGGTTGAATCTTTCAATTTTATACGTTGGCTGTTAATTTCCTTTCTTTAAGTGTAGGAATTTATCTCTCTTGGCACAGAATCTTTCTGTCTGATGTTACTACTGCTCTAATGGTGCCTTATTACTTGAAATTTATTTCTAACTCTATAGTTTCTTTCTGCTCTTCAGATATTAAGTCATTCACAGCTTTGATCATGGCTAAAAGAACAGGCCAAAATAAACAGTTAAAAAGAGAGGATTTTTTTATTGAGTTCAAATGGTTAGCATAACCTTCCAAAATATCTAAAGTAGTCCCAAACAGAGCTAGCTTCCTTCATACAATCATTCAAGACACATTAGAAAGTTCTGTGAATTTTACATGACCTTTGACACTTAGACCCCTGCTACATGTTCAAATTAAAGCTGGATAGAAAGCAGATATATAGAGCTGTTACACCTTTTCAAGCAGTAACTTTATAGCTGGTTGGCACTTTTGTAGCCAAGTAGTTATTTTTATCATGTGCACATGTGGCTGGTCTAAATGTATTGCATGATTAGCTATTTAATGATGTGATCATTACTTCGCACCTGTGGCTGGTCTAAATTTATTGTGCAATTAACCAGTTAATTGCAAAATATATGTAAAATATCACAGGGGCATAAGATATTTATCAGTGTAGTAATGTAACTCATACAAACAGTCCCATTGATGTCCATAGACTAATTCACCAAAGCAAGAAAAGCAGGATTTCACAGAAGTTGATTTTCCTTTCTTATAATCACTGGAGTCAATAAAAAGACTCCCATTGCCTTTTGTGAGTACTTTATATGTTTTTACTTCCTTGTTACTCTATTCCTTAAGCTATTTCTAAATAAATGTATTTACTAAAAGCTAGAGGCAACTATTTGTGTGAGCAATATCTTTTATTGAACCAAATGCATGCCTGGGATAGACTGAGATAAGCTCTCAAGTACAACAGTACCCTTCCTCGGGCCTCTCATTTTATAAAAAATTCTAGCTTTCTCACACACTAACTTATATTGGCACCTCACTATTTCACTGAAAACCCTTGTTTATAGGGTAGAGTTATCAAGTCTCACTTTTGTGAAATGGAAGGCAGCTTTTAGGCACTCTCAGTCCAAATTAAATGCAGAATTTAAAACCTGAATATAATTTTCATGTCAAGTTAACAGTGATGATGGTGGGGACTACTACCATGGAAATGATTAACATGCTATTGGTGTATTTGTGGGGCAGATGTCAATTTACTACAGCTGGCTTTCTGCCCCTCTAACTTCAATATATATATATATAAGCTCATGTAGGAGAAATACAAGGACTAAACAATACAAATCTTGCTTTATAAAGAATGAACTATGTTCTTGCAATGAAGCCTGGGAGATTTATGTGGAAATCTCTTGTTAACTTTTTGGGAAGTTTCACACAAATCCCTCATACATTGGTAGGAAAACAAAACCTAAATTTTCAGGAATCAGCAAAAGGCAAAAGGAAAAGTGAAACATGAGAAGGATTACCCATGGAAAGCAATTAGAATCTCCAGGCAGGGGCAATGCTAGGAGGGGGCTTAACTATAGCCACCCCAAAATTTGCCTTAGCCCCCCATAGCCACCCCTCTGAACATGGCCCCTGCCCAAGCTCCTCTTCTTCCCCCCAGGCTGCCGCTGCCTGCCCCACTCACCTGAACCCACCCTGCTCCCACCTGCAGCTGGCAGAGGCACAGCGCTCCTGGCCCAATCCAACCTGCAGGGCTCATGTCCTGCCTTTGTCTGTGTAGCCCCCCCAATTTTCTGTCTAGACCACCTCAGCTTCTCCACCAGGAAGAGGCTGGCGCTGCCTCATCTCTAGGCCATAGCACCCCTACCAAGTCTACTAACAGAAATGTTATCTATTGCTGAGGATGGTTT